CCCCTGTGTACAGCCAGGTATATCCAGAGCATTATATAGAGAGATATTGATGGGCTGCTATGAAGGGAAATAAATTTAGTTTAAGGGGTTTTTTTTGCTCGATAAAACACTGCAGAAGAGTCCACAGAGATCGTCAAATATTTTGGATGTTTTTGTAAAAAGGAGCTGATTTGGGGCTGAATGATATTCTTGGGTTTTTGCTTTCTGATATAAAAGTAAAGTAACCTGAAAACTGTGTCTGGCAGGAAACCGTGGCCTTGTATTAAAGTGATGCCTGGTGATGTGAGAGAGCCTTGTAATGAGGATCAGTTTGGCTGAGGGATGATACTGTTCAAAGTTAGAACCCATCCACGTTGGACATTTTTTATGTTGTAATAAATATTAGCGGCTGGTGAGAAGCCTGAACGCTCTCCTCATGCCACCCAGTTTGAAAACAATTTAAATAGAATATAACAATGTCTCTGTATGCTCCAAAGGGAACAAAGGCAGACTTCTCTCTCCCACTTCATTCCACGGATGGCACTTCCTCCCTTCCTCCTGAGGGCCAATATTCCTTAATTAAAAAAAAAAAAAAAAGGCCTATTCAACTCTTTCTTTTCAAATCAAATGTCCATAAATGAGAGATTTGTCTGCACAAGATGTAAGCACAAAACACTGAATAGAGCTGATAATAACCCCAGCCGAAGTTCTGAAAGGAGCAATCCTTTGTTCCCACGTCGGAGACAGGAGCTCTGACTCCTGTGATTTCCAACCAGTTAGTTCCGTCTCTTTTAACGTGGCTTTTCCTGTTACTGTGCAATTATTCCACTTGTTTTTCTTGGCCTTTGCTAGGGTCTAAAGCTCTGAAAGCAGAGACAAAGGTGGAGAGAAGCATGAGGAGTGTGCGTTGGGAACGTGCTTTGTTCCAGAGTCTCGGAAAGCTCTCTGGGTATATCTCTAAATCAAGAAAGGTCCTCGTGTCCTCAGTGTGACCGCTCTGTGCCATTCTGCCTCTGCTCACACAAATGGCCAGGCTTAGTCCTCGTGCTCAGTCGCTAGGTTTTGCACTGTCTTTTTGTTGTTTGTGGCTAATGCAGCATGTTTCCTCCTCTTCCTCCCCCTCCCTGTGTTTAAAACAAACACCACCAGGCCTCAAGTGCTTTTCTTGCTTTTAGAAAGTTACAGCCTGAGATGGAGCAGAGCGGTGGTCTGATTAAAGTGATTAAAACTATATACAGAATGCATAATTAACCTCTGCCCTGGCTGTCACGGGGAGCTGATGCTGGAGCTGATACTGTCTCAGTCCATGGCAGCAGGCGTATGCTACATGGCTATTTGATTTTATTTTTTTTCCTGGAGAACTTTAATCGCTTGAGATAAAGAGCCAAGAGAGAGAGATCAGGGCTGTATTAATCCTCTCAATGGCTTTATAATTTCCCCACTATTCTGCTGCTGGTAATCAAGAAAAATAATGCTGGCTTAATCCTGGACGCCAAGGTCAATCATCCCTGAGCCTTTTTGCTAGGAAGGATGTCATTAGGAAAAGATTTTTAATGAACGTAATTGTCCTTGCCTACTTTGGGACTGGCAGTATATATGTGATTTCTTATTCCTGGCAGAGGAATGTTTCTTGGTTGGAGCAATAAGTGGCCCATTCTGATCATTGCCTAACAGCTGGTTAGGGCAGCAGGATAGCCACAGCAGGCAGAGGTTGTTGTGGAAGATGATGGGAGCATCACCAATCAGCCAAGGTTTGTACCACAGCGACAGAGAGGCTGTTTCTTGGGATCAGCAGGTGAACAGGAGGGCAGGAGGATTGTGACAAGTCGTGGTGAAAACATATGCCTGTCCTTACTAGGTCTGGCCATGCCAGACAGATGCACAGATTGAAGAGAGACCATGGGATCTTGGAATATATTTTCTGATGTGTCTTGAATCTACCACAATTTTTGCTCTCAGGAAAAAAACTCCAAACTTCACAAGTTTTCTTTTTCTGTGTCTGAACTAAGGTGAAGAATTTCAGCTGTTTCCTGAAGCCTGACATCCTGAACACCTTAAAAAGCCAAAGCTGTAAATAATGCTGCTTGCCATCACATTTAACTTAATTCTGTGAAGCTTTTGAGATTAGAAATGGTGAAAGATATGTCTGTCGCTGAGTCTGGAGGCTAAAAGTGCTAAGAAGGCAGAGCTGACACGTACAAA